ACTTCATCAGGTACTCTCAAATGACATACCTCTGGTTTGTGATTACTATGATGACTGCAATAAGTGACTTTAACCATCTTCGTAATAGTATCCTCAATCACTGTCATGTGTGCAGTACAGTATTCATTTGTTTTACAGGAACCTTGAACCTTGGGAGCTCTCTGACGTTTCTCTTTCGACTGACGCACCACACCAGACCTGTTACAATAATAATAGGATTTCCTGTTAAGACCTTGCATGTGACTGGCACTGTTCTTGACATAAAAAGACTTTGAATGACTTTCTTCCACTCATAAAACTTATCAATAGAACGAAATTCATGGTTTGTTATTTTGATTTCCTTGTTGTGGATTTGATTAAGATGCTCAATTAGCTTTGCCACACTTAAACCCTAAATTAGATAGTGTCACTTCTAGCACTGTATATATACTCAAATATACTTACATTGAGCCGCATAAATTGCAGAAAACGTGAGAATCTTTGACGCTTTTCTCATTGCTATGTTTCTCCTTAACATGCTTTGAAAGTGAAGATGAAAACTGGTAAGACAGATGGCAGAAAGGACACTTCTTTCTTTCTTCAGAACTTTAAGCAGATGCAGCCATGGTGGCACCACGTGGGTAGGTGTGGTGTATAATGTTAAACACGCCCACATTGAAAAAGATACTGGAATATCCCGACTTTTACTGATGGCTAATGTACTGCAATTAATGGCTAGTGCAGTACAGATATCCTCCATCTTGCCTTCAAGATGTGGTGGTGTTGCTGGAATCTAGTTGCCATGGGTACCCTATACTACCATAGAGTATTATGCTACCTCATGAAGCACTCACGAGCAGTTGTACAACTATATTTCAAGAATATTTCAATAGGTCTTACAATATTATTATGACGTTATTTCCTGTACGTATTGGGTGTCATAAACAGACTAGGGGGAGTGGCTGCTTAGCAATCATATTATGAAAGAGCTTGGTTTCTTTTTGCTTCTTTTTATTTCAACTGGCCCCATTGCTGCTGCATATCCTTGGCCAGACAACGTCACTCAATACAAAGGGTACATTGATGTAAGACAAAGTGAACTGTAGCCTAGTACAGTGTCAGAGTATATCTTCCTTTGATCTTTTAGCTGCAAAGCAAAGGAGGTGTAGGTGTTCACTTGTTCTATTGGTTCTTTGAGAGCAGAAGCGAGCCCTCCACTGACCCACTGGTAATATGGCTGACAGGTGGGCCAGGCTGCTCTAGTGAGCTTGGGCTCTTCCTTGAAAATGGACCTTTCATTATTAATGGAACCAGCACACCAACCTACAATCCTTATGGTATGCATATCAGTACATCATTATAGTTTGTTTGCAAAGTCTATTAGATATAGCTGTATTTAAGTATTTTGCAGCTCAAATCATGCTCAATTGTATGTGTATTTATTATTATTAATTAGGTCATATTAATCTTATTCATGATGTATGTCATAATAATGAACTGCAATGGTGGCATATGCAACTGCATGCTGAGATTGATAGAAACTTAGGTCCTATATTAATTTAATTTTATTTCTTAGGTTGGAATAGTTTTGCTAACATCATCTACATTGATCAACCTGGAGGGACTGGTTTCTCATATGTTGATAAACCAGTAAGTAAAACCTGTTTTAACAAGCTTTAATGAGCAGAAATGTTGCCTTCATATTGATAGAGTGAGTATGTACATGATGAGATGCAGCTAGCTATGGACCTGTGGAACATGATGCTAGCGTTTTATGAGAAATATCCAAAATACACTAAATTGGATCTTTATATTTTCGGAGAGAGCTATGGTAAACAAAATAGCTTTGTCCATTTCTTTACTCTCTTCTCTTTTCTTTATTTTATAGCTGGTCATTATGTGCCTGCTTTG